TATCATTGACAAAGGACCCCCTAAATTGAAAGCCAGTAAGAATTCTTCAATATGAAGGACAAAATATGAGTTATTTATTCTCTTACAAACCTATACTAGGATGGCAACTAAACTAAAAGTCTTCTAAACCCAGATGAAAGACAATAGGGGCGGAGGCCCCATCAGGCTAAGTCAAGTCATTTCATTCAGAAGTGAGACAACAGATGAACAGCAGGTAACAGACTTCCGTTCAGCACTCACTGCTCTGAGGGCCCACAGTGGGGGAGAAGCCAACAAGGACCTGGGAGGGTTCTGGAATTGAAGGTTCCAGGTACCACAGAGGGTAGGGATTCTAGGATGAAACCAAAACAGGACAACTGTTTCAAAGTCTATAGCAAAGTACTGAAACCCTTGGGCTCCCTCCCCTGCTTTCCTCAAAGATGGCTTTTATTATGTAAACTGAAACAGAAAGCTGCTAGATTTAAGTTACATTACACAAATAAGAGTACCTTACACAAAAACAGGAGGAGTAAGTGTAAAGTCAGTACAGACCAGAAAGTAAAAAATTCAGTGAGCACAGGACTTAACATCAGTTTTGATCACTGCTGTATCCCCATTACCTACAATGGTCCCTGACACACAGAAGATACTTAATAAATATGCAGCAAAGAGTGTAGAAGAGGTTTTTAAAAAAAATCCAAGAAAGTAGGAAAAAAAATCGATAAGAGAGAGAGAGACAGAAAGAGAGAGAGAGAGAGAGAGAGAGAGAGAGAGAGAAATGGGAACAGGAATCCAGGAGATTTGAGATTTGATAAAAGGCGTATCTGGAAAGAAAGAACAGAGAAAACTGGAGGGGAGGGGAGAATTATAAAGAAGTAATGCTTAAAATTTTTCCCAACTTGAGTTTCCAGGCCGGAATCGAACCTGGGACCTTTCGGTCCGCAGGACGACGCTCTATCCACCGAGCCAAACCGGTTTCGGCAGCCTAGTGTATTTTAAATAGAAAGGTCACAAGAATCAGAAACAAGAAAGAAACAGGACTTCAAAAGCAATCCTGAAGCTAAAATATAATGGACTAATGCCTTCTAAACTCTGTTGGAAAGGTTTCTATACTGAGAAACCACAGAATTCCATACCGAGTCCAAAAACCAATCAAGTGTAAGAGTGAGGGTACAACCAAGGCACTTCCAGACATATGAGGCTCTCCCATGGATCCTCTATTCTCTCCTACTCCCCCCAAAAGCAACAGGAGAATATATTTTACTAAAATGGAATATAAGGAAAAGGAATTCTCTCCAGCAAGGAGACAGGTGATACAGCACTGAAGAGAGAAGAAGGAAGGTCCACCGTGACAGCTGTGCACAGGGCCACAGAGAGCCAGTTCAGTCTGGAGTAAGAGAACACAGGACACTACCAGGAGGAATAGTTGTTTTTTTAAAATTGGCTTTGCCCTAGTTGGTTTGGCTCAATGGATAGAGCGTCGGCCTGCGGACTGAAGGGTCCCAGGTTCGGTTCCGGCCAAGAGCACATGCTTGGGTTGCGGGCTTGATCCCCAGTAGGAGACATGCAGGAGGCAGCCAATCAATGATTCTCTCTCATTATTGATGTTTCTGTCTCTCTCTCCCTTCCTCTCTAAAATCACTAAATATATTTAATAATTAAATAAATATATATGTCCAACTGTACAAAGGATGGCTCATTTGGAGAGTCTGGGGATAAATTAATGACAAAGACCCATTTGGAGAGTCTGGGGATAAATTAATGACAAAGACCAAAAAAATCAAGTAAGTGTCTTTTTACAATTAACTCTAGGCAAAACTGTGTGGCTTAGATGTGACTATTTCTATCATAATCAATTGATGCATCCTAGAATTAGTAAAAAGCTACATGGGAGGATATGTTAAAAAAAAAAAAGTACCATATTGGGGGGGGGAGAGGGGGGAATTGTTAAAAAATATTAAACCTTCACCACCCAAAGCAGAAAGCCAATGGATAATGTTTAAAATTTACAACTCAAGCAATAGCCATATAGGCATGGAATTTATAGAGAGGCAAACAACAAAATAAAAACAAATAGCTTTTATTGTTAATTCTAACTGGAAGATTGTTTCCCCCATTGCATTTCAGAGAGAGTGGAAGGTGGGGAAGGGGGGGAGGAAGAGAGGAAGAGAAAGAGAAAGAGAGAGAGAGAGAGAGAGAGAGAGAGAGAGAGAGAGAGGTGAGAGAGACATCGATTGGTTGCCTCCCACACCCACCCCAACTGATACTTGCAACCCAGGAGAGGTAGGTGCCCTTGACCAGGCATTGAACCTTCAACCCTTCAGTGCACAGGCTTATGCTCTAACCAGTGAGCCGGGGCCAAATAGCTTTTGTTGAGTAATTATATCTAGGTAATAAAACGGAATGAGAGGATGGGGTAGGAATTTGCTATTTTTCTTAAATTACCCATAAGACTAATATTTCTAAACTACAGACATAATGCTTTATAAAATATAAGTTTCAAAAATAGAAATTCAACCAATGATTACCTGTTCTATGGGGTTACTTCTTATCACATATTGGGATTATGGATCTTTGGAACAAAAGCATTTAGTCTTAGAGCAAAAGAGGATTTACAAATTTAGCAAAAGACTAATTTTGATTTTGAAATGCTAGTGTTCTGCTTAACTTCTATTACACAAAATTTAAATAAGTAACATCATAAATAAAACTCCAGCTTTCAGTTCATTTCCCCATGACCTCACAATTCTGCTTTAGCCCCTAGTCAATGAGTGGAAAATCAGATAATCAGGCTCTTAGTCTAAATTCTCAAAAGCCCCCAGCAATCAGGATTATTTACATCAAATTTAACAAAAGCCACTCCCCTATTGGAAAAAAAAAAAGAGTATATGTCAATGTACCCTATATGCAAATGGTCGGAAGGGCCCAAATCCAATCTGCCTGTTTAATACCCACCAGCTAAGAATGGTTTTAACACTTTCTAATGCTTTAAAAAAATAAAAATATTATTTTGTGACACATGAAAAAAAAATCACATGAAATTCAAATCTCAATGTCAGAAGGTAAAGACTTATTGGAATACAGCCGTGTTCATTAATGTCTGCATCTATGGCTGCTTTCTAGTGATGGCAAGGATTGTGGGGCTGCAAAGCCTAACCTATTACTATCCGGTCCCTTTCAGAAAAGTATGTGACCCCTGAGCTAAAGAACTCTAGTTCTAAATTTTATTTTAAATAAAGTTAAGACACATTCATGTATTTTAAAAATGTACATCTAAAAAGTCCTTGAATCAAGGATAAAGAAATTTAGAGATGAGCTAAACAACCTTGAAAGGGAAACATCCAGAGGGATTAAATGGTGGCTTAGGGTCATGCAGGTAAAAGGGAACAGAATCAAGATTAGTCTTCTGACTCTGAGAGCTGCTCTCTTAGATAAGCATCTGTTGCCAAAGTTTTAACCCCAATACTCCTTTGTTCCTATTCCACTCTTCAACTTTCTATTACTAAATAACTTATTTCACTTTAAAATGTTAATAAAACATGCTTTTTAAATTTGATCTTCCCCAAATATTTAAAACAGACTGAAATTTACTAATGACTGTGCCAAAAAACAAACAAAAAACACAGGTGAGAATACTGGTTAAGGACAGTCTTCGGCACTGGGGACACCCAGGCTCTTATCTCTGCCCCCAGGGTATCACTCTGGCCTCATAATCCCCCAAATTTCTCTAAACTTCACTTTTCTCACCTCTAAAAGTGAGGATAGTACCAACCGCAGTTGAGTGGGGTGAGACTGAATAAAATAAAGGATATGAAAAACTTAATGTTCTATCACAGAATTAAGAGCTCAAGAAATGTTACCTATTATACTTTGTCTTATCACGTCCAAATATTTTTATAATCATTCATTATCCCTGAAGAGCTTCATAGGCACTGTTCTCAAACTGCAGTGCCCATAAGAGCCACACTTGTGAGCTTGTGGATGCCGATTCCCTTGGCGCTACTCCCAGCTACACTGATTGTTTAGTCTGGAAGAGGCAGGAATCTGTATTTTCTTTCCTTTTAATTGATTTCAGAGAGGAAGGGAGAAGGAAAGAGAGCTAGAAAACACCAATGATGAGAGAAAATCATTGACTGGCTGCCTTGCACACTCCACACTGGGGATCAAGCTGGCAGCCTGAGTATGTGCCCTGACCAGGAATCGAACCGTGATCTCCTGGTTCATAGGTGGATGCTCAACCACTGAGCCATGCTGGCCAGGCAGAAATCTGCATTTTCAAACTCAAGTTGACAATTGGAGGCAGGTCATCCATGGGATAGAAATAGTGTTCCTAGATAATGAATCAGATACTGAGAAGTTAAGAGACAATCAAAAGCCTAAATAATCACAGCTTTATTTAAGTAGTCTACTTAATCAAAGGAGCTGAGTACTACTCATTTCTTTTGCCATTTTTCTTTTTACAACAGTCCTAATTTTTTTAAATTTAAACTTGTGTTGGGCTCCATAAGTTAATTAATGCTACATATAATACAAGATTATTTTCCTATTTATGAAGGTTAGTACTTCCAGTTATACAACCAACTAAACAGTTAAGGAACTTAAAATGGTCAGTACTCACATCCAATGAATCTTCAGTTTTCTATCTTGGAAGTCAGCCACACAACCTTGTTACTATCCCCAGAGAATTTAAGACTGACCCGTTTTAGTTATAGTATATTTGCAAACAGAAAGAAAAAAAAATGTATTCCTACTGTGCAATACAAACTAATACAAGCTAGAAATCTGGATAAAAAATAAGCACGAAACTAAATATGTTCCATATTAAAAACTAAATATGTTCAATATTAATAAATAAATATGTTCTATATTAAGAACCCCTGATGTGTAATACATGTGAAGTGCATGCAACAGCCACACCTCAGGGCAAGGCTTTTCCATTTAAGTATCTATTCCAAAATCAGCAAAAACAGAGTTGACAGTGTCAAGAGTCTGAGAATGTAAAGGTATCGGTTTGCAATTACCTTGCTCCAGTCTATGGCACAGGGAGCGCCTTGCTGCTTCCATCTCCGGAGTCGGATTATCTAGGACGTGTCTACACCACTGCAAAGGGCTCAGGGATTTTTCTGATGATGAGAATGTCTTTGAAGACCCAACGTATAACCTTAAAAAGAGAAATCTACATTATAGGTATTATATAGGTATGTAGAGATTACCTGTCTTCTAGAGAAAATAACACGTATTTATTAACAATTTCTACCAAAACAGAACTCACATTTGATTAGTTTAAGTACCCAAACTACTTTTTAACAGACAAACATCCCCAAGTAGAATGGGACTGCAGCTTGGTGGGAAGGACTCCAAAAACTCTGAAAATATATCTCAGAGTCAGAGATTGGAGGCTTTTGTTATTGAACTAACCTTGAACAGATACCAGGATGATCTGACTACCTCACTTTTCTAGAAAGAAACATTTTCATCTCTTTCTTGGCAATAGAATCTTACATGAACTTGAGCTAATGTACGTAAGCATGACATAGCAAACAAAGCAAATTTTATGTCCTTTTTACAAGTGAATGTCAGTTGTTTATTCATGCTCTCAACCTTCAAATAATCAGATAGTTCTCTAGTCAAAGTCTATTCTAAATTTGGTAAGTGCTTCTTTCTTATTAAAGCCAAACAAACAGCTTTTGAATGTATTTTAGGAAGAGTTCCCTTCCAGCATCTATACCATCCTATATAATAAAAGGCTAATATGGAAATAACCGAACAGCAGAATGACTGGCTTCTATGACACGCACTAACCTCCAGGGAGAAGACACTCAATGCAGAAGCTGCCCCCTGGTGGTCAGTGCTCTCCCACAGGGGGAGCGCCGCTCAGCCAGAAGCCCTGAGGCCGGGCTCACGGCAGGTGAGCACAGCGGTGGTGGCGGGAGCTTCTCCGGCCTCTGCGGCAGCGCTAAGGATGTCTGACTAATGGCTTGTCTGAGGGCTCCCAGACTGCAAGAGGGCGCAGGCTGGGCTGAGGGACCCCACCACCAAGTGCACGAATTTCATGCACTGGGCCTCTAATAGTTACATAATAATGGGTAGGTTCAAAATAACAAGGAGGCACTGTAAGTTAAAACAAAGATTTCCTATCATTGATATACGGTGCTAAGGTAAATTTTAGAATTTCAGTGATAGGGTTATATAAAAAGTTTTATCTTGAGGATTAACCAATAGTTAACTTAAAAAAGAAAGAAAATTATAATCACTAATAATTGACCTTATAAAGCTGCTTCTAATTACAAATCTCATTAAAGTAATATTCCTTCAAAGTTACCATAATTCTAATGAGTGCACTTTCTTGAAATAACACTTCATTATTCACTCTTTTACTGTTTATAGTCAGGACTCCCACCTACTAGAGTAATTTATCAGTTATCCAGGATGGTTGGGGAATATACTGTTCATTGGTAAGTTATTGTTTTAAGTCAGGGATGGGCAAACTTTTTCTGTAAAGGGCCAGCTAGTAAGTATTTAGGCTTTGTGGGCCAGGCTCTGTCACAACCACTCGACTCTACTATTACAGTCCAAAGACATCATAGATGATATGCAAATGAATAAGTTCCTATAAACTTTACCCATACTCATTAAAAGCTGATTTTCAGATGTCATGAAATAGGATTCTTTTGATTTTTTTTAACTATTTAGTAATATAACAAATATTATTTAGTCAGTCCCCAGGCCGACACTGGCAAGGATGTGGAGAAAAGGGAACCCTAGTGCACTGTTGGTGGGAATGTAGGTTGGCGTAGCCATTGTGGAAAACAGTGTGGAGTTTCCTTAAAAAATAAAAAATAGAACTGCCTTTTTACCCAGCAATCCCACTTCTGATTATATATCCTAAGAATCCCGAAATACCAGTCAGAAAGAATATATGCACCCCTATGTTCATAGCAGCATTATTTACAATGGCCAAGATCTGGAAACTGCTTAAGTGCCCCTCAGTGGCTTAGTGGTTGAGTGTTAAACCAGGAGGTAAAGGTTTGATTCCCGATCAGGACACATGCCTGGGTTTCAGGCTCCATCCCCAGTCGGGGGTGTGTAGGGGACAGCTAACCAATTATTCTCTCTCTTCATTGATTTTCTATCCCTCTCCCTCTCCATCCTCTCTCTGAAATCAATAAAAACATATTTTAAAATACATATTTTAAAAATCGGTGGTACATTTACACAATGGACCAACTACGCTGCTATAAAAAAGAAGGAACTCTTACCCTTTAAGACAACCTGGATGGACCTGGAGATTATTATGCTAAGCAAAATAAGCCAGCCAGAGAAAGACAAATACCATATGATCTCACTAATATATGGAATCTAACAAACAAAACAAACTGATGAACAATATAGAATCAGAGGCATGGATACATGGAACAGACTGGCAAATGTCAGAGGGGAGGAAGGTGAGGGAGACTGGATCAAGAAAGGTGAAGGAATTAGCTAAAGAACACATATGCATAGCCCATGGACACAGACAACAGTGCGGTGAGGTTCAAAGGAGGGGAAGGGGACAGGAGCTGGATAGAGGTGGGCAAAGGAGGGGAGAGGGATGGGAGACATCTGCAATAGTGTCAACAAAAATTTTAAATAAAAAAGGAATATAAAGTGAGTTTCTTGTAGGCAGTATAAAAAAATAATAATGTAAAAATTTAGCTGACCAGCCATATAAACCAGGCAGCAGGCCCAATGTACCAGTAGGATACAATCTGCTAACTCCTATTGCAAATGAGGATTCTAAAATATCTGTTTGAATCGATTTAATAGTAATCCCAATATATCATCATTCCCTGAGAATGTGGACAATCCTGCCTTCACCAAGATTATATTGATTAGTTAAAAATTTATATTCCTGGGCCCCACCTCCGTCTACTGGGACAAGATTATCACCTACCTATGTAAATCCATCCCATTCACCCTCCCCTGCTAAAGAACTCCTGAACTGTCCAGAACCGGGTAGCTCTCTAGACCCCCAGAAAAGGTTATTCTAGGCCAGTTGTTCTCAATCTTTGGTGCATTGAAATCTTTAAGAGGGCTTGTTGAAACAAAACTTGCTAACACCTGATTACAGGCAAGTCTACCCGATTCAGTAGGTTTGGAGATGGGGTCTAAGAACTCAGAATGTCTAACCAGTTCCCAGGGGATACTGATACAGCTGTCTGGAGACACACTGAGGATGGATGCACTGCGCTAAGCCAATTGTAGTAATCCCATTGTTCCTGTTTGCCCAGTGACTGGTTTAGGCACAAGCCCTGAACACAATCCTAACCAATAAAAACTAAGGGGAAATATTCTGATGGGTATGTGGACAATATTCTCCTCATTTTCGAAGGGGTCATAAACGACCCAATTACATGCTGCCTACAACATTTACACTTTAAATATAAACACGCAGGCTAAAAGGATAGAAAATTACAAAAACCTACCCACAAAAAAAGTCCAGACCCAGAAGTTTTCACCACTGAATTCTATCTAATACATAAAAAGAATACCAATTCTTGACAAACTCGACAAAAAAAAGAGAAACACATCCTAACACATCTTATGACATCAGTGTTACTGATACTGAAACCAGACTCAGACCTTATAATGAAGGAAATTAAAGATCAATATCCCTCATGAACATAGAAGCAAAAATTCTAAATAGTTTAGCAAATTGAGTTCAACCATATATAAAAGGCATACTTCATCATTACCAAGTAGGGTTTATCTCAGGAATGAAAGGTTGGCTTCCCAGTCAAACATAAATGTAACTTATCATATGCACTAAAACAGAAAAACCATATAATAATCTCAAAGACTAAAGCATAATGCATCCATTCCTGACAAAAGCTCTCAGCAAGTTAGGAATAGAAGGAAACATCCTTGATCACTTTAAACACGTGTACAAAAACAGCATCTGTAATGGTGAGGCACCATGAATGCTTTTCCCCTAATATTAGAACAAGACGAGGGCTGGAGGTTCTAGCCAGTGCAATCAGACAATAAATAAAAACAGTTACACTGGAAAGAAAGAAGTAAAACTGTCTACTCACAGATGACATGATTATCTATATTTAAAAAATCTGAGGAATCTACACAAAAGGTACTAGAACTAATAAGGGAGTTTTCTAGCAAGACTATAGGATACCACCAGATCAATGTATAAAAGTTAATTGTATTTCTATATAGTAGTAGCAACAATCAGTATTTTTGAAATTTCACTTTCCACTACACTACCATAAAACACACACACACACACACACACACACACACACACACACATAGCCTAAGGATAAATCTGACAAAGGATGCCAAAACCTATACACTGAAAGCTACAAAATACTCTGAGATAAATTAAAGATATAAATAAATGGAGAGACAATAGTTATGGGTCAGGGCCTGGCCAGTGTGGCTCAGTTGGTTAGGCATCAGCCCATGCACCAAAAGGTTGCTGGTTCCATTCCCGGTCAGGGCACATGCCTGAGTTTTGGGCTCAAACCCCAGTGGGGGTTGTACAAGAGGCAACCGATGAATGTTTCACTTTCACATCTATTTCTCTCTGTCTCTCTGTCTCCCTCCATCCCTCTCCCACTAAAAATCAATAGAATATTTATGGGTCAGAAGATTAAATATTAAGATGTCAATTATTCTTAAGTTGAGCTATCTATTTAACACAAAATCCCAATCAAAATCTCAGAAGGCTTTTTGCAAGAATGTAACAGCTTTCTCTATAATTCACATGGAAATGCAAAGATCCCAGAATAGCCAAAATAACCTTTAGAAAATAACAAAGTTAGACAGCTACTGCTGACTGAGACTCATACAAAGCTATAGTAATGAAGACAGCTTCAATGTGGCATGAAGATAAATAGATCAATGGACAAAAAGAGATGGTCCAGAAACAGAGCTACACATAGATGGAATGCTGATTCTTGGCAAATTACAAAGACAATTCCATGCAGAAAAGATCATCTTTTGAACAAATGCTGCTGGAACAAATGGATATCCATATGCAAAAATGAACTTTGATTGATACTTCCCACAATATCCAAAGTTAACACAAAACAGATGACAGACAAAAATGTAAAACCCGAAAATACAAAATTTTTAGAAGAAAACACAGGTGAAAGTCTTTGTATC